CTAGTCTCAGACCGTCCCCCAACACAGGGCAGCAGCCTGGTCTGGGTGTGTGCAGGGAGGTGTGCGGGAGGGTCAGGAGCCTCACCTGGAAGAAGGGGTGGTTCTTGACTTCCTGCGCCCCCTGGGGCCCCGCGCCCAGCCGCTTCTTGGGGTCTTTGCAAAGTAGCCGCTGCAGCAGGTCCTGTGCCACGGGCCCGATCCGGGGGGGGAAGGGAGGGGAGCACTTCAGGATCCGTCTGGGAGGATTGGGGGGGCGTCAGGGGCAGCGAGCCCCCTCCCCAACCCTGCCCAGGCCCCTCAGCCACCCTCCTCGCCCAGCCCCGCTCACCGGGACACCTCCGCCTGCGTGTTCCTCTCGCCCTCCAGGGTGAAGGGCGAGGCCCCCGTCAGCAGCTCGAAGAGCAGGATACCCAGGCTCCACCAGTCCACAGCCTGCCAGGGCAGAGCCGGGGTCAGGGCCACCCCCGCCTCGCCCCGCCCCCGCTCCCCACCCGCTCCCCTGCCAACCCACCTTGCCGTGCCCCGTCTTGCTGCGGATAATTTCGGGGGCCATGTACTCGATGGTGCCACAGAAGGAGAAGGTTCGTTCTTTCTGGGAGGGCAAGAGGACCCGTTTGGACACCCAGCAGTCCCCAAGGCTCAGAGTAGGACTCGCTGGACTCGTGAGGGTCGGAACAGAGGGAGCCTCCTGAAGGCAGGACCTGGATCTGTTTGCCTCTGCGCCGCGAGAAACGCAGAGCCGGGTGCGGAGCAGGAGGAGACAGGAAGGAGAAGGCTCGAGTGGGGGTGCGGTAGGCAGACGCGTGGCCCTGCGCTCACCTCCTCCGTCAGGAACTCCTTGCTGAGCCCAAAGTCTGTGAGGACGATGTGGCCCTCGGAGTCAAGCAGCACGTTCTCCAGCTTCAGGTCTCGGTAGATGATACCCAGCTGGTGGGAGCAAGAGGGACACTGAGGCTTCCTCCCCGACGCCCCCCCCCCCTTACCCCACTTCTACGGCTCGTGTCCGAGGCCGAGCACCAAGACCCAGCTCGGGGATCAGGGCAACCCCCTAGAGAAGGGGTGTCCGGTGCAGGAGTGAGCCCAGGGACCGGGCCGTGGGATGGGAAAGGCCACTTAAGACGCCAAAGCAAGGAACGGGGATGGCGCAGGGATGCCCCACGGAAACAGGTCTCAGAGGGAGGAAAGCCTACGAGAAGAAGGCCTTGGGAGCCAAGGCCTGAGGTCCCCATTTGAGGAAGTTCTGCAAGCGTGGCCCCGGGAGGTGGCCCCGGGTTCCCCGTCAGAGGAAAGCCCCTTTCAGGAGGTGCCGGAGGAAGGGACCCCCTCCCCAGGCAGCGCTACGGCCTTCCTTCCAGAAGGCCTGTGCGAAAGGCGCTCCAGTCCCCCCCAGGAAGCCCCAGACACAGCGATTCAAGGCTGCCACGGGGGTGCCACGTTCGGCAGCAGCCGGGCGGCCAGGCCCTCACCCACCTTGTGCAGGTGCTCTAGGGCCAGCACGATCTCGCCCCCGTACACGCGCACCTCGGCCTCTTTAAAGTGCTGGCGCTGGTACAGGTGGGTGAACATCTCGCCTCCGTTCACATAGTCTGGGGGGAAGGGGGGCGTGGAATGGACGTCGGGAAGCAACCCTGATCGCGCGGCCCAACCCGCCTCAGTGGTGGCCTCCAAGGCGGGCAGGTGCCCGCCCTTACCCAGGATGAGGTGCAGCTTGGCGTCCGTCTGGAAGGCGTAGTGCAGCGTAACCAGGAAGGGCGCCTGGCGCACCAGTTCCAGCACCGAGCGCTCGGTGCGCGTGTGCTCCTGGGTCTTGGCGCGCTGCACCAGCGCCGCCTTGCGCAGCACCTTCATAGCATACAGCTTGCCTGCGTCGTGCCCGACGGCTTTGCGCACCAGGAACACCTTCCCGTAGGCTGTGGGAGCAGTGAGCCAGCGGAGGGTAGACCGTGAGCAGAAGGGTGGTGCGGACTGGTGGGGGCGGGGGGGGGGGGGGCGACGCCAACCCAGGAGGGTGTGCAAACTGGGGGAAGGAGCCGGAGTGAGAGGCCAGCGTGCAAAAAGCTGACAGAGCCTTCTGAGGAAAGGGTGTACGCGGCCCAGGAGGGTGCTCCACAAAACCAGGGAGAGGTGCAAACCAGGCTGGAAGGCAGGCAGCTCCAGGAGGCCTGCGGGGCAAAGTGGGGGCGGGACATGTGCAAACCCGTAGATCAGACAGAGACGCCAGGGGGTGCAAGGCAGAGTGGACAGGGGAGGGATGTGCAAACCCAGGCCGGGGCGCGTGCAAAGCTGGGAGCGAGCAAAGCAGGAGACCGGGCTGCCACATCGCCTGGGGCGGGGAGGAGGTGTGCAAATCACTTGGGAGGGCTGCAAGTCCTGGAGGGTGCCGGCGAACCCCGGGAGGACCTTGCAGGGAGGGGCGGTGTCGATGTGGAGCGCCCCAGGAGCAGGCACGTCCCTGGGAGTGGGCATGCAAACCCTGGCAGGGCGGGGCGGGGCAGGCAAGGCGGGCTGTGCCGGGAAAGGGTGGGGGGCACTGCCGGAGGCCTGGCCCGGGCCCAGGCCCGGGCGGGTGCGCGCGCGCGAGGCTCAGGGCGCCAGGCCCGGGACACCTGCCCCGTGGGGGTCCTCACCTCCCGTGCCCAGCACCTTGAGCAGCTCGAAGTTCTCGACGCTCACCTTCTCCTCGTGCCCGGTCAGGTTGGCTGCGGGCGCAGCAGGCGAATGAGCGCGGCCAGTGCATGACCCCTCCCCGGCGCAGCCCCGGCGGCCCTCCCCCGGGGCCCCGCACCACCGGCCCCTCCGCGGCCACCCCTGCCCCACCTTCGGTGATCCGCAGCTCCACGGCGCAGCCCTCGTCCTCGTCCTCGTCCCCCATGGCGTGCGGGTGGCCGGGGCCCGCGCGCGGCTCTGCTCCGGGCGGCGCCGGTTACATGGCGGCTCCGGCCGGGGCGGGCGCTTCCTGGTGCCGCCTCCGGGGCCGAGGCGGGCGCCGGCGCCGCCTCCCGCTCCCCGCCCCGCGCGGCCTG